GAAAGACAAGAGTTTTACACAGAAACTTATTACTTCCCATCTGTTCATCTTGTGACAATAATGAGGTACAAAAACCTAAACCAGCTCCTAGAAAAAGACAACCAGTCCCAAATATAAAATGTACATAAGACGATCAAGCAGATCCTTCTGTAAAAAGACCCTCTGAAAAGGATATTGATGTCCATGCTGAGGACTCAAATAGTGATTCAGAAAATGAATCCTATCTTGTATACAGTGCACCAAAACAAGTGCCAGTAGATGTCAATAAAAACATTGACAATTCTGCAGCTACTGAGCCAATTGTAAATAGTAATCCAGCTGGAGAACATGAAAATGATATGACACCACATACCGAATCGGAAGTGGATCATATTCCAGATTTGCATAGAAATTCAGTTTCATCTGAAAGTTCTATTTCTGTGTCAAATAAAACAAGAGCTTTTGAAGACCCTAGTAGTCCAAATGTCGAGATATCTCTTGACAATAATGCTACACCACAAAGTTCAGGAAATACAAGGGAAATAACTCTTCAATCTCCTGGTAAAATAGGGTCAGGGTCAGAAAATGATAACGACATACCGCGAAGGTCTGCAAGGTCAAGGTCAAAACCACAATGGATAAGAAATGACGAATATGTATTTTCACAAATCCATCAACCAGATTGGAAAATGAAAGCAGAGTATTTACAATCTTTAGCAGATACAAAACTTTTCCAAAATGTTGATGGTAAAGTCATTTCTGATGCTTTAATAAAGGTCATAACTGAGTCTGCTGATAAGTAATCTTTTAAATAAGTTTTTATGATTATATCTTTAATGTTTTAAAATGATTTTATGACAATCAATTGATATACACTATTATAATTGCTCTTAAAAATTTAATGAGCTATGTGGAATTACAGAAATTCTGTGATAAACTTATTTAGTGTTGAATGAGTACATCTTAGTCGGTGAATTAAGATTGATACAGAGCATACTTCCTCTTAATAATCTCATTATAAATGATGGGTACATCATTTCGCATCAGAGGAGGAATGTGATATTTTATGCCGTACAATTGCTTTCAACATTATGATTGCACATTGATATATGACAGTATACATAATGTTTCTGAAAATAGCTTTCAGTGATAATTTAACTGGAGAATTTTTTTGCTGTAAGTTGTTAAGTAAATCTTATTCAACTCATAGAGTTAATTTTTTTATGATAACTCAGATAGGTTATTTCCTCTCCTTTATTCGTTAATGAATGACGAGGACGTCATTTGCTAACGGGGGGAAAAATGTAATAGTGATAATTTTATGCTATTTTAAATATTATGATATTCAAATGTATAATTTAATAATTATACATTTATGAATAAGTCACAACGGATTTTAAATTAAAATACATGTATGAATATGTGTGCCTATAATATTGACCGAGATGAATAATGTATAAATCAAATATTCAAATTATTCAATAAAATAATTTATATACTAAAATAATTAAATAAATTAAATTAATCAAACAACTTGAAATAAAATAAACAATTAGTAAAACTTTGGATCCACCCATGCTACTTCTAGTACACCTGTGTAAGGGTACATGATCATGAGTAGTTTTCATCTTACTACAATTTCATTGGTCTAAAATTTACCTCCAAATTCCTGACATTCAGACAAAGACACTTTTCAGCTGACAATGCATGAGTCTACATGCCAATCTGAATTATTCTTAATTTAAAGAAATTTGACTGTTTCAAAGAAACTGTAAGTATCATTATTTACTTTTAAAATACATAACTTAAAATCAAATACATTTATATACATAATTTCTAAATTCTGAAATTAATAAACTGAATGAGAGATATTTGGAGTGAGAGATAAAATTTATTTTGCAGAGTCCAGAATTATTGTTTTATTGCTTATACTGATATACTCTGCTGCAACTTATTTAAAGAAGCTAGGAGTCAAGCTTTATTCCACAAATAGGTACCAATTTATATATTTCTGCAATACAGACTTACTATTTTATTATGAGAATTGTAAATGTGAAATTTGATAATAATATTTATTTATTATACTGTCAACATAAAGAATCTATTTTCTATATGAATGTTTAATATCAGCTTTACATGTATTTCATGGTATTTTATAAAAAGTCTGATTCAAGGGGAATAACTTGTGAATTCCTCAAATGCTATGTACATGTATTGATGTTTTATTTATGATTTGTTATAATATGAAATACTATTGATATATCCTGATTAAATATGTATTGTATTTTCAGGGCTATGATCATGATGATTTGCTTGTATTAGATGACTCCATAATAAACCAATACATAAACGAACCCGCAGGTGTTATTATTCATCTACAACCCCTGTTGCAGTTTTGTCATTTTTCGTCGCTGAATTTCGACAACACCAAGACAAGTAGGGAAAATGTGCAAAGTACCTCGAAAAATATTAATCTTTAAGAAGTTAATTTGAACATTTCAACCAGTATCAAAGAAAGTTCCATTAATTGATTTATAAAAACCTATGATAGAATCATACACATTTAACATCATACAATTTATAAACAAATTTCCTTTTAAAACATTGACTTTTAAAATAAAAGATAATTCATTTAAAGTATGTGCACCTTTAACATCAAACAATTTAATAGTATAAGGGTTATGTCTCCTACTGAAACTGAATAATCTTAAGCTTTATTGCAAGAAAAATGTGACTTTATTTTGTGCGAAAAACCATGTGAGTTTAAAAGGTTTGTTGAGCTGTATATGTATAACAAATAAAATTGTGCATATTAACAATAAAAATTTAAATATGGAAAAATTAATTTAAAAATCAGACACTTCATATTTAAACATTGATTTTTTATTTTTTGATATTGTCGGTCCTATACCACCCCAGGATGTGCCGATAAATTGAATACCGCGCGTTAGCGCCTTTCAGAACTCTTGTGCTTAATAGACACAAGAGCCGTTTGTGACGTTGGAAAGCTTTAAAATAACACAAATAAGCATTGTGAGGAAAGAAAATGACTATTAATTTTTAACACACAGATGTTGTATTTTTTCGTTAATTCAAAAAGGTAAATATTTTATTCAAGTGGGTCAAAACAATATATACCGCACTTGAAGGTGTTCATAGAGTATTGAAAATAATATAATTCCTATTGTATTTCTACCGCGAAGTGACAAGGATCGCATGTGTTATCTTTAAGCATTGAATTCATACGTTAGCGCGGTATGATGATTTGTTGGCACAGCCAGATGTGTTAAAGGACCGAAGACATCCAAAATCTGAAGTCATTGCTTATATTTTTACTGTCTAAATTTCTTTCTTCATAATTGCTTTTTCGTTGATCTTTAATGTGAATTTAGCACCTTTCTAAACTAGAGTGGTTAATAGACGTAAGAGTCGTTTATGACGTTAATAGAGATTTGAGAAATAGGGAAAGGGAGGAGAAAGTAAAATAGTAATGAGGGGAAGTGAGGGGAAAGGAGTGAAAGGAAAATGACGTGTTTGTAAGGTGTATATGCCATAAAATGATGTCAAGAATAGCTTGGTTATATTGACGTCCCAATGTAGACTTTTATTTTACATATTAATTATAACTGATGCATTAATTTTCTAGAAGCGTATAATGCCCTTGACAAACACTCTTGATAGATAGTCCCATATTTTTATGCCCTTTATTTATGTAAATACCAGCTCTTGGAATGCTTTCGGATAAAAAGTCAAATATATATACGTGATACGCATTTTTTAAATTAACATCAGATCTAGCGCTTGATGAATTAAAATAAATAAAGATTGTCTCAGAGCTAGGGATTGTCCACACCTTGGACACTCTTAGTTTTTTTTTCCATTCCGAATTGTGGTTATGTACAAGAGATATTGTGAAACTTTTGATAACCCATTATACACAAGACACATAAAAACTATCATGCCTTAAGAGAGAGTAAACTGGTAAATGCAAAAATAATGTGTACATGTGTTACAATTGCTTTGGGTTCATGATCTGAATGAAAATAGCAACATTCATTCAAAACGTAAAAACTAGTGCAGCTTCCTCCAATGCATTCTTTATAAAAATAGAATGTCATCATGTAAAATTAAGCCATAAAAATAACAGTAGTATATAAACTGTTACTCAACAATGATCATGAAGATAAAAAGTAGAATTTCCTCTTTTCTGGATTCGTTGCATTAAAGATAATTATGGCAGAAACTGCATGTATTAACGAAAATGTGTACATCCAAGTTAAAGAGGTAAATGATTCAGATAGATAAGCTATAAATTATACTTCATCAAGAGCCAATTTTCACGGACAAAACTATTTTTATATGTGTGGATCTATTTACCTAATAAACATAGTTATTTTTTTAAAGACACGTATTGTTTTATGGTAAAACTACATTGTCGATTGTTAAAATAAAAAAAATAATTTTCAGCACCAGTAGCAGGGACATAGTTTTGTTTCAGTAGAATATTTTCTAATTTAGAAGTAGGAGATTTGTTTTCTTCCAATATAAGAATTGTTCTGATTCAGTAAAAGAAATGTTCATTTATCGATTGGATGCAAACACTTCACATAAGGACCAGGCTTCCCGGTTCTTTCCGCTTGCAAGGTAGATGGTTACTTCTCTGCAGCTAATGGGATTCGGACATGCACAGTAGTACTTGCAGACAGAAAGTCCTGCTATTGTAACATCACTGAGCAGCGAACAAAACTGCGTTGGTTGTCCCACAACGCGATAGAAGACCTACATTTGTGAAAAAAATAATCAACGTTCTATTTCCGTTGATAAGATTAAAAATCCATCAAAGAATTACTATACTAGTTTGGCGTAATTTATTTTCAAGCATATTTAAAGTTAGATTTGAAAAACCATTTTTACAAATAATAAAAAAATGAAAGCTTTGCTTTAGGATGCCCGAGTTACAGCATGTTTTATAATACAAGATTAAGCTTTCGCAGTATTGTATTCCTAAAATCTTGCCTGACTCATCCTCGCGATGGAGTGCCTATCACATGACAGTCCATTTCCTGTTATGGTGATATCATATGGAATAGCCTTAATCCCAAAGGTTTCAGGTACGAATATCCGGACCAGGAAGAAGGGGGTTTGTTCATCCTGTAGGGGTAGCTGAAAGCAGGTCATGTTGTCTCCGTCCAACGCCCTTGTCATCTCTAGCTTCATGTCCCCAGAGTGGTCATTAAATACATCAATGTGATCCACATCTGAAAAGTATTCCGACACAAAAATTTGGTCGTAATAATTAAGACAAAGATATTTTAAGTTTTGTCCTATATACGCAGGGCACCTGATCCCACTAAAATTCTGATGTTTAGAGGTCTGTGTTTGCTTTCCTCCTGATTTGTGTTTTTAAATATGGACTTCTGAACAACATTACTGTTCGTAATCTCCATATATTTGATTAATAAAAAGATAACATGATATCAATGCTTTACCTCTGCACTGGAAACTGGACAAGATTGGACTTCCAGCTAAAATGAAAAGTAGGCGTGACCTTTAATCAGATATAAATGTAAATTGATCTTGGCATACAGTATTTTGTCACGTTTTTTTCTGAAACTTTTTGCAATATAAACATTAACATAATTTTCCATGTCATAATAATGAGCTGGATATCCAAAAATTAAACTCCGAGTTTAATATATATTATAGTTGAATATATATTATATATTAGATTTAATATAAAAAATTCTCAATAACAAGTTTAAACACATAATTTGCTGGCAAAAAGAGCATACGAAATGTGTCGATTTATCAGAGTAAAATATTTCATCTTTATTTAATTTATGTATAGACTTGATTTCCGGTACTGTAACATCTATACTACTTAACAGTAATTGAAAGGCTACTTGGTCAAAATATCATACCTTTACTTCGCTGCGTAGCAGGGTTATTTGGTAGATATGATACATCTTTACTTGTCTCAGTAGAGGGGTTAGTTGGTAGATATGTTACATCTATACTTGTCTCAGTAGAGGGGTTAGTTGGTGGATATGATACATCTATACTTGTCTCAGTAGAGGGGTTAGTCGGCGGATATGTTACATCTATACTTGTGTCAGTAGAGGGGTGAGTTAGTTGAAATGATACATCTTTACTTGCCTCAGTAGAGGGATTAGTTGATGGATATGATACATCTATACTTGTCTCAGTAGTGGAGTTAGTCGGTGGATATGTTACATCTTTACTTGTCTCAGTAGACGGGTTAGTTGGTGGATATGTTACATCTTTACTTGTCTCAGTAGACGGGTTAGTTGGTGGATATGTTACATCTTTACCTGTCTCAGTAGTGGGGTTACCTTGCATATATGTTACATCTATACTTGTCTCAGTAGAAGGGTTAGTTGGTGTGTATGTTACATCTATACTTGTCTCAGTAGAGGGGTTAGTTGGTGTGTATGTTACATCTATACTTGTCTCAGTAGAAGGGTTAGTTGGTGGATATGTTACATCTTTACTTGTCTCAGTAGAGGGGTTAGTCGGTGGATATGTTACATCTTTACTAATCTCAGAAGTTGGGTTAGTTGGTGTGTATGTTACATCTATACTCGTCTCAGTAGAAGGGTTAGTTGGTGTGTATGTTACATCTTTACTTGTCTCAGTAGAAGGGTTAGTTGGTGGATATGTTACATCTTTACTTGTCTCAGTAGAGGGGTTAGTCGGTGGATATGTTACATCTTTACTTGTCTCAGTAGTGGGGTTAGTTGGTGTGTATGTTACATCTATACTTGTCTCAGTAGAAGGGTTAGTTGGTGTGTATGTTACATCTTTACTTGTCTCAGTAGAAGGGTTAGTTGGTGTGTATGTTACATCTTTACTTGTCTCAGTAGAAGGGTTAGTTGGTGGATACGTTACATCTTTACTTGTCTCAGTTAAGGGGTTAGTCGGTGGATATGTTACATCTTTACTTGTCTCAGTAGTGGGGTTAGTTGGTGTGTATGTTACATCTATACTTGTCTCAGTAGAAGGGTTAGTTGGTGTGTATGTTACATCTTTACTTGTCTCAGTAGAAGGGTTAGTTGGTGGATATGTTACATCTTTACTTGTCTCAGTAGAAGGGTTAGTCGGTGGATATGTTACATCTTTACTTGTCTCAGTAGTGGGGTTAGTTGGTGTGTATGTTACATCTTTACTTGACTCAGTAGAAGGGTTAGTTTGTGTGTATGTCACATCTTTACTTGTCTCAGTAGAAGGGTTAGTTGGTGTGTACGTCACATCTTTACTTGTCTCAGCAGTGGGGTTAGTTGGTGTGTATGTTACACCTATATTTGTCTCAGTAGAGGAGTTAGTAGTTGGACATGTTACATCTTTACTTGACGCAGTTGTAGAAACTCTGGTAGATGCTATGTTGTGAGTACTGAATGTAACTTCCGGTGAAATTTCACTTGCTGCTGCATTAAAAGCTGTGATTGCAACCGAAGATGTTATGACCGTTGGCGTTTCTAAAAAAAAATATTAGTAATTCAAGTAAATTAAATTCTGCACGTAGTTTAGTGTAACGCTGGAAATTTTCACTCCAACAGGAAAACCATTGTCACCTGAGGCACATACCAAAACAATATGCAGAATTACATAAATCCACTGGCTTTAATTTGTAGACGAGGAACTCCCCACAGTTCTTCACTTCAACGTTGTAACTTCTTTCACAGTTAGCGCTAAATCCAATCTGACATGCAGATAGCAATCCAGTTTGTCCTTCACTGGGTGGCTGATCTTATATAACAAGAAATATTTTACTTCATGCATTCATGATGCACGATGATATAAGGAATAATTGTGAGAAATTGTGTCATTATTGTTCAATAAAGACATTTTTTTTAAATCTTGTGCAATTATTATGAATGTAAAAGAGGTTTTATATAAAGTGACATTTTTTTTACTTAGTTGCTGACTGACATTTTTTTCATACTAATCTTTAGGCCATTATATACACGCTGAATTGATGATGGATTTTTTTCATTATTTCCCGATCATGACAAGGAGACAAACGACGGGTGGGGCTGATCGTAGAAGATGCTCGCTCTACTTCTTCACCTGCTTAAGATAAAATGTCACAAAGTCTTTGTTTTATATATATATCGTTGATTTTGTTATATTATGTGATTTTGAGTTTTCCGTAGAAATTCCGTAGAAGTTCCTTGGAATGGTTTAGTATTCACATAAGAGTTTCACCCTCCTCGACTATATCGTTGCGCAGTACGTTTGAGAAAAATGACCTTTTCATACAAATTGATAGTCCATTATTCACATACTGAATTGTCGACGGTTTTTCCTTTTTTCCCGATCATGACAGGGTGCACTTGGCGGCTGTGACCAGTGGGCAGGGGATACTCACTCCTCCATGGCACCTGATCCCACCTCTGATGTTTTGGTCGTCCGTGTTTGCTCTGCTCACTTGAATACTGTTCATTATCTCCTTCTATTCACTAGTGTCGGATTTCAGTGCATTATATATGATACATTGTTCATGTTTTAAATCAAAAAAATTATTTGTCTTGAATCCTATAACGTAATGGAGGCATCAATAATAACTAATTATTTCAAAGAAGTCAAATATAGTCGTTTGTTATAAAATCTTTAGTCTTCCATCCATTTCCAATTGTAAACATTATATATTTAACTTGATAATTCCAATGTTTATTTTGAGTTAATATAGAAAAGTTAACAGAACAGGTGAAAAAAAAATATAGTGAATTCTCTTTTCGTAACTAGATCCTGCATTTTGAGATATATATATTTTTTTATTTATTCTAGTTATATTGTATCTTTACACATTTAACTCATTCGATTTTGTAATCGTTCATTTTCTTGATTTAACTAGAGTACATCCATCTTGTCGTCTTAATGTTTTACACACAATGACTCGCTTTCTTGTTTTTATATTATGACGCAGCATCATGTAATATTCGCAGAAAAAATACACTGAATTTCATTGCAGACTTCTGAAATAAGGAATACCATTTTATTTTCCTTGTCATAGAGGCATTTCATTTAAAAAAAAATGTAATATGCTATAAACAGTCATTATATTAGAGGTACTGTGAGGTATGAGCTAACTAAATGATTCCCCTCGCCTCCCCTATGAATATAATGACAGTGTCAACGTTTTGCCGTGGGATTTTCAAAATATGTGTCGGATCAAAAAGTTAAATAAGAGGTGCACAATGGCAATATATAATAAAGATTCAGTGAACGTTTCATCAAATATCACTATCATTTTTCATTCATAAATAAAAAGACTGTAAAATCAAATATTTTCGAGGGTCAAATTTTCGAGGTTTGAGGAAAATATTTTGGGGCATGGGGATTTGATTCAGTTGTTGATTGATTGATTGATTAATTGATTGTATATTGTTTAACGTACCTCTTGAGAATTTTTCACTCATATGGAGACGTCACCGTATGCCGGTGAAGGGCTTCAAATTTAGACCATACTCGGCACTCAGGGCCATTGAGCAGGGAGGGTTCTTTATCGTGCCAGCGCCTACCGTGACACAGGACCTACGATTTTAAGGTCATATCTGAAAGACCCGTGACTTTCACTTCCGATGTCGAGCGCCTGGCGAAGGAACAGTTACTACCTATTTTTACGTCTTAGGTTTGACGCGGCGCCGTGAACGAGAATCGAACCCGGGCCTCCCGATCACGATGCGAACGCTCTACCACTAGGCTACCGTGAACGGTAATTCAGTTGTTGAAGAATTGTTCAGTAGTAACTAATGTGGAAAACTGCATTTCGTAGTGGACATACATTTGTGAGTCTCATCATTCCTTTAAAACCACGAAATCCCCCCTCATGAAAATTAGTGATTGCACAGCAACATATACAGTACAGGCTACGCGGATCCCGTATTTCCTGCGTCCCCGCCGCGGTATAATCACAACGCGGTATTTGGCCAGGTAGACAGGTAAACCGCGTTCCCTCCGCGGGAAATTCATCACTTACCTGTCCCCGCCGCGGTTATATCATCGATCAATTACTGACAATTAGTATGGTAAACAAACGGGAGTTATCTCCCCGAATTGTAATTTGCGAACTTTCCCTGTAACAAAAAAACAAACAAACAAACAAACAAACAAAAACAAAAAACCGTTTGTTTATTAATTAATTTTGCTATGAATAGAATTTAAACTAAGAAAAAATAAGTTTATTTTTGTTTCTAAAATTACATATCAATATTTGAAATTGAATAGAAAATATTATTAAATTGTTACGTCTTTGCAATGGTTAATTATTTTGTGTTATTAGAATCTATCAAGAAACAAAATTAAATACTAGAAATTTTAATTAGTTTTTTTTTTAATCTTCATATTATATGCAAACTGTAATAAATGTTGAACTCAGACTGTTTAAGTTTCGATAAACGATTTTCAGCATTCATTTGAAAAAATAAAAGATGTACATCTTTTAAAAAATGTAAATCTTCATATTATTTGTTAATTAATTTCGATTTATTGTATATTAAATGTACAGGGTTTTTCTTAAAGTGTCAAATTACCGGAAAACATCCGATGACGAGCATTTGCAGTTGCATGTAGAGGGCACGTGAACTTAAATTTTCTTTATCCAAGATATCAAGAAAAAAGTTCTTTTCTTCTTCATTTCTCATCGTTTATGTTCTGTTCCCAAATTAAGAAAACTTTTCTTTAATTTATTTCCCTCTTTTATATAAATGTGCAGGCATTTTTCTCAAATTGTCAAATGACCGAAAAACATTCGATGTTGAGAGTTAACTTTGAGCACGTGAACTTTATACAAGAGATCAAGAAAAAATATCGTTTTCAACTTCATATTAACATGTTTTACTTTTTAAAACAATGTCTTTCTTTTTAATTTTAATATTTCTCGATTTTCGTGTTCAATAGATAAGATAGGATGTGCAGGTGTAATGATAAACTTCACAGACGAAATTATAGTTTATATTAATAAATATTCAACGCAAAAATTCATATATTTTTGTTTTCTTTGACAATTTTTGTTTCTTTGTGTATTAAGTATTAGCCGCGATCATTTCCTGTGTATAGGGATTAGCAGTGCCTGAGCAGGAAACGACATGCCCTGGGGGTTTCACACCTGTCTGAAAGTATACCTTGGGTAACGCTAGCTGGATGTGCACATCGTTGTCTAGCCATTCAACAACACATTTGATTCATTGTTTCATTATTATTTCATCGATATCATTTTCAGATGCGATATTAGCCTTGGAATTTGTGTCAAATTAAAATTGTTGCTTTTTTTAAACGGAGTGTATAAAAAGAATAAAAGTAAAAAAAGCAAATTTTTAAAACAAATCAATGAAGTATTTGATATTAATTAAATCAAATAATGATCCATTGCTATGTAATTTCGTGTCTGTTTATATCTGTACCAGTTAGTAGAGAGAGAGAGAGAGAGAGAGAGAGAGAGAGAGAGAGAGAGAGAGAGAGAGAGAGAGAGAGAGAGAAACCCAGGTAGCACAAAACATTTTCAAAACATTTTATTGGTGTTGTAAAAAGGTTTTTTCGAAACATTTCAGACTAAACATTTTAAAGATGTTTTTAAAACATTTCCTTTTCTCATTATAACATTTTAAAAACATTTATAAAATGTTTTCAAAAAGCTTATGATTAAATCCTTTAGAAACATTTTTCTAAAATATTTTTGAAACGTTTTAAAAATGTTTCAAAAGGTATGTTTAGCTTTCAAATATCAAAGATTTTTATATTACGTTTTAAAAAAGTTCTTAAAACATGAAATGAAACATTCCTTTTCCATAAATTTGAAACATTGCATAAATACGTCTCTGAAACATATGGAAGGAACGTTGTCAAAATGTTTTTGAAACATTCTTAATTCATTTAAGGGTTTTTATAGCTTCCAAATATCAAAGATCTTATAAAACGTTTTAAAAACGTTCTAAAAACATGAAATGAAACATTCTTTTTCTGTAAATCGAAAACATTGCATATACGTTTCTAAAGCATTTGTAAGGAACATTTTAAAAATATTCTTAAAACATTCTTAATATCGCTGTTAGTTAAAAACATCCGGATATTTTTCGGTCTAGGCAGTGAAAATGTTTATTTAAAACATTAACTAAAATAATTATTTTCACTACAATTGAAACATTTTAATTATAGTTTTGACATTTTTTGGAAACATTTTCAAAATGTTCTAAAAACATTCAAATAATGTATTATTGCGATTTTTCTAAAATTTAGTTTATGAAGAAAAAAAGAATATATAGAAAGAATAGTGTTAAAATGAGGAATTGTAGTAATTTTTAATTGAAAGATTTTTTCCGGTATTTTATAATGATTTCTAGTTTTGGCTTATTGATAAAACAGACATAATTTATATGAAGTCCTTTGATTAAACAAATCAAAAAATCAAGAAATGAAAGGATAGGCAAACAAAATTTTAAAATATAAATAAATGTATAAAATCATAATTAGCATTAAATAAAACCCTTAATGTCTTTAAAAAAAGAATGTTCTTCAACAAATCTGTGATCCACTCCCAGAATTTTACTCTGAGGCATTAGATAGGGATTGGCACATTGGTCAGTTTCAGTGTCATGATAACCTCTTATGCAATTCTCCTGCTGGGCAGCGCGTTACATAGTATAGTGGTTTGCTGCTTATCTAGGCCAAATTTTGAATTCTGGTAAACAAGATGTGCGCGCTTACTCCGTGCCGATTTGAATGAGAAGACTTTGCACCATATAAACCACAATAATAACCTCGGGATTTATTAACTTTGAATGGTAAGAATTATTCCTTTATCATAGACTTTAAAAGATCATTTAAAATTACTTTTATACTACCAGTGTATGATCAATAACTTTGTACAAATGTATGTAGCAATGACAAAGCGTTAAGATTATATACATGCATTTGATTTGAATATTTCAATCTTAAGGCAAATCAATTATATCCTTGATTCAAGTATTCGTTTTCTTTGTGAAATGTTAATCATCAAACAATATTTTGATTTAAAAATGAAATTTCTTTACAGCATGGTGTTGGTTGCATCATCCGTATTTTCAAATTCCCACATTCAAAAGACCCGCCTTTGGTGAAGGCAAAGGTGTACGTAAATACTATTACTCTTCAATAATATTGTCATAGTAATTATTTTTCTGCTTTTTTCAATGCAAATGAGGAAAGAAATTAAATTTGATATATTTATTTAAAATAGTTTTTGTATATTTTCATTGATTATCTTAAGATACATTAGATGTAGAACGCTGATACAAACACCATTTTCCTTATCTTTACAGATTGTGCTATTCTCTCCGAGGGGCGGGTTCCTTATCAGCCTTTTCAGTGTATGTGATTCTAACTAATTTTTCTAGATCCGCCGCTCTCTTCTACCCATACCATGTAAACAGTGAACATAGGATTTCTGTGATTCTGTTCTTTTAAAATTCAGTGAATGGATTAGACGCCGTTTTCAACCTTTAAAAACCCGGTGACTTGAAAGAAAATAAATTAAAAACTTGTGTCGAGAATGGAATTTAAATGTGATTAACATATTGAATATGGGTTTGTATTAAAGATTCAAAAATTAAATATAATTTGTGTTTATTTCTTTTAAAATATAAATATTTCATTATTTAATGAGATAAAGTAAAAATTCAGGAAAAATACTTTTGTAGCCTCGACTTGAATGTTTTGAAAACGTTTTCAAAACCAAACAAATTAAACGTGAATAAAACATTTTTGAAAATGTTTTTGTTACATTTAAAAACAGTGTTATGATTACATTTGTTGAAATATTTTGTAAAATGTTTTAAAAACATTTAAAAAACCATACAAAATCACGTGATTAAAACATTGTTGTAAAATGTTTTTGTGACATTTTAAGAAAATGTTCCGGAAACATTTGCTGAAATATTTCACTAAAATGTTTTAAAAACGTTTAAAAAACCATACAAAATCACGTGATTAAAACATTATTCAAAATGTTTTTGCAACATTTTAAGAAAATGTTCTGACAACATTTTGCTGAAATATTTCACAAAAATGTTTTAAAAATGTTTAAAAAACCATACAAAATCACGTGATTAAAACATTTTTAAAAATGTTTTCGCAACATTTTAAAAATGTTTTAAAAACATTTTTAAAATGTTTTTGTGTTAGCTGGGAAGAGAGAGAGAAGAAAAATATCACAATATTCAGGCACGTGCATGATCGTTTTTCCTCCTTTTTGATCAGTATATCAATTTCTTAAGTCTAGCGAATTAAACTACCGCTGATTTATCAATTTATTGACCATTTGTGGATTTTGTCTAAGTTTTATTGTTATTTATCGAGAGACTTGTTTATGATCCACTTTCTTCTTCCGTTTAGCATATGTACATGACATGTAATTTGAATTACTTCCCTTTTTGTCGCCAGATTACAAGGACAAATTTTGGTGGTTAAAAAATGTATTTTTGTTTTAAAATTTGATTAAGAAAATCACAGTATATTAAAATTGTCGAATTATTGAAAATATTTATGCGACACAAAAAATTTAAAAAGGATTCTGTCTGCAACAAAAACACTGAATTCTTTATTTCATGCATTTCAATCCATGAGCTACACATGAAAAAAAAGGCTTCGTTTTACAATGTCGTAGGAAAACGCATACAGGTAATACACTCAGGTTACATCCTGTGTATATAGGTAGTAGGTACAGCAAAACTCGGTTATAACGAAGTCACTGGGACCAATGAAATTACTTCGCTATATCCGTAATTCACTGTAACCGTATAAGAAATTCATTGAATTAATATAGCTGGGGATCCAAGATGACTTCGCTATATACATGAATTCGCAATATCTGTGTTCGTACTAAACGAGTTTTACTGTAGTATGTACACTAGACAGCGTCTTTTCCTCGGGGCTTCTCATCCGCTTCGAGTACATGTAAGCTCCACTCCACACCAAACTTACCTGAGGAAAACCGAACGGTAACACAGACATCTGAAAACTTGAAGCTTGGCAACTTGCTGATTAAAATAAGTTAATTTCTGTGTTGTGTTCAAATATTTTAAGGGCCCATATTTGTGTTTGTGTTTTAATTGAACCGAAGAAATCTGAAATTTGTTTATGTTCATTGACATGATTTAAGTAATTTTCGAAAAGAGCAGAAAATAGAAATACATTCAAATACTAGCTATGATATTACTGATATTCTGAATAGAATGACCAGTGATTATTTTATTAACAATAACCCCCCCCCCCCAAAAAAAAAAACCGAACAAATAAAAATCGTCGATATTTAGTTCATAGTCTTACAGTGTAGCGCATAATAATGGAACAACGGTATTCCTACACTTACGCGTGTTTTGTTAAAATTTAATTGTAATTATGTATCACTATCTATCATCGTTTTTCAGGCTATTATTTATAACAGATATGTATGCAGAAGTAACGGTATTTTTCTAAATGAAACCAAATGACTGATATAATCTCACAGATAAATAAACACATTGCTACATGTAACTGCAACTGCTCGGGCTAATTGTGAACACTGGATTACACCAGTGCATATAAAGAGAAGCGATATCACGGCATTCTTTCAATTTTAATTATACCTTTTTAGCAATTTGAAGATCATTTGGGGTGGCATTATTGATTTTGAAAATAAACTTTAAGTTAATATATTCGATAAATTATTCGACTTTATTTCATCCTATACTGTACATGTATTACTGTTAACAGACGTGTTTGAGAATTAATTAATTTTGAGTGACTATTGTTAAAAAAAATGTTTTTTATTAATCAATTTGATAAAACATAAAAAATGAATTTTTAAAGAATCCATGTAATGGTATAAATCTATAATATCAATGTGCTCGTAATCCCCCCCCCCTCATTTCGATACGATTAAAAATCGACAATACTTTACAGGTAAGAAAATCTTGTAAATAATGGCCTAACAATTAATATGGAAAACTTCAGTCAACATTTGAGAGAGGCTGCTCAGATATTCTTGTTTCAGTAACTTGTTTGTCAATATCTCGTTTTATGACTTGTTACACGTTATATGTAGAGGATGCTCTTGCGTATCGAATCAACTGCGAGATATAAACCCTGCATGCAGGTGATAGGGGTACTAGAATATTGCTGCCTAAGTAAAGGGAGTTAACATTTAAAAAGTAAAAGTAATCCCATTTATCATAAAGATTTAGTGTTAGTTTACCAATTACCAATCACGTCTTTTTCTAGTAAAATATACAAATATGTAATTATAACAATTAATTGACAATGCGTCGTAGATATTTTTAATTATTTTATAGCTAATAAATAGTCTCTAATAAAAACTACAAAAAATCAAGAGAATTTAGCGTTCAATATCCTGACGTTTTATTGAACCCGAAGTTTGTATTACATATATCATTATGCCCGAAACATTCGGAATATGAAAGTTCAATATCGATCGCCCCGTTGTAAACAAAAAAATTCGTCTGACCAAATTCTCCGAATCAAATTAAAGAAATGAAGTGGTATCTAGGTAAGATGTGTTTATTTTTATACAATCATGAAAGTATTAATTAAAAATTTACTACGTACTAGACCATAAATAAACAAATCATAACTCTCGGCAGAATGATGCGATATTGAACATGTATGAGTAGTATAAGGAGCCTAGATAGCCCGGAAGTGACGTCATAACCGGGAGTGGTCGGAAGTGGGTTAACCGGAAGTGGCCGGAAGTGGTCTAGCAGAAGCGGAAGTGGGCCCTAGCGGAAGCGGAAGTGGTTGGAAGTGGTCTAGCGGAAGCGGAAGTGGTCGGAAATGTCCCTAGCCGGAAGCAGGCTAGATGGTCAGGTCAACTGAGTGCAATCCTAACCCCCTAATCCCCTAACCCTAACCCTAGTCCTAACCTTAGGCCCCTTATCCTAACCCCCCTAGCCGTAACCCCTTTTAATCCTAATCCCCCTTATCCCTAGCCCCCCTAACCCTAACCTTAACCCTAACCCCCCTTATCCCTTAACCCTATTGGGGACTAAGGTGGGGATTCAGTATATACCTCTAAATATAGTGTTTTACACTATACTGTCAGGGCCGTGTGCAAAAAAAAGTTAGGGTCGTGTGCAAAAAATAGGTTGGACTTTACCTATGCTTTGTGACGTCATCCACTGTATAAATACAATGTGATTATGACGTCACGCATTCATTCACAGTCTAGACAGCCTAGTCTAGCCAGCCTAACCCGTTTGAACTGGATTTTTTTTTACTGAAAACAATAACAACCTGGATTTTCTATATTTTCAGCTATGGTTTATATACCATTGGGTTGTTTAGGGCCGTGTGCATCAATTCGTTTTACCTACCTTTTTATACCTGTTGCATCATCTTTTTATACCTGTTGCATCATCTGTAAAGGACCGTGTGCAAAAAATTAGGGTCGTGGGCATAAATAGGTTGGACTTACGTTTAATCGTACTGTGTACGATTTTGTACACTGTCTAGTCAGCGAGCTACCTATAGA